GAGCGGGAGACTAACATACTTATGGAGTGACCGGAACATGGGTAATCTTAGCAGACGAAGCGTAGCACCAGTGAGGCGGACAGGTAAGAATCATAAACCAGATTAAACTACCACGAACAGGAAATGAGAAATTACCTTATGAAGGCGACCGGTCAGGAGGAGCACCTTCGTCTTGGTATACAGAAGAATGAGTGCGGGAACGCGATCGACGATCACTAAGGTGGGAAACTGAACGCGACCGAGACCCTCGATCCCGATTGATAGGACTCCGGTCGGCTAGCACTGATTCATGTTCGACATCTGATCGCGGTGTTGCACTGGGGGAGCGGCTGCGGCGTGCTTGCCTACGATCCGAAGACCGAGAGCGCGCACGTTCATGAGAACGGCTACGATGTCCTTGTTTGCGGTCCGAGGAACGAGAGCGTTCGTGTTCGGGTGAACGCCGGCGTTCAGGACTTCTGTGGTCAGACCGCTTGTCAGACCGGGGAGAACGTGAACGAGATCGTCTCGTAGCGTTATTGCGTCGGGAGTTGGAATTATGGTTAGACTGACGCACAGGGGTACGCGATCTATCTCGTCGTGGTTCTGTTCTTGGTGTTTTGCGGTTGCGTGATGGAGAGCGTGAAGGTGTACGCCTTCGTTTATCTTCAGTCCGTGGTTTCGTGAAGGACCGGGAATCAGAGCGTCGCCGTTCCCTTCTATCGCTGAGAGAATGAAAATTATGTTATGGACAGGAACCTACCTTAGCTGTCTGGAAGAAGAACGCCGTGAACGTGTAGGTCGTCTAGGCGAGTCGCGCCTACGCCTATCGCGAGATCTTGAACGAGAACGACCTGAACGGCTGAAATCCATATGATACTTTGACAAAATTTCGTACAAATCAGATGACGTATTTACAGGCAATGCGACTGCAATGAATTTTTTTGGAGATCGACAGAACATAGTGCGTACAAGCGAGATAGGCGCATCAACTCAAGAATGTGCTATTGGTAAGTACACAGGTAGTAAAGCAAGTCAGTCACTACGCATTCCGTACTCTCTTCACATGTATTTGGTAGGAGTCGAGCGCCTGATATTCATGTTCACAACCAAGGAGTTGCAGATCGCGCGCACGGCTGAGAACAGTCGTAGTGTCTTTCAGGCTACTGAACTTCACTATATCCCTTCCGGGAGTTTATCAAGAGGTTTATCAGAGATTGAACTGAAATCGACACGGAGCAGCCAGAGTCTGGTCGGCTTGATTAGACCATGCCCAAATTCCGAAAATATATACCGGAAACAGCCACATGCGGACACATACTAGATCGTCTGTGCAGCTGAAAATGAATTAACCCGCACTTTCCAAATTCCTTTATATATTTAGGTTAGATTTGTTTATATCCAACTATGAACCAGGAAACCGTAACTTTTGGCTTAAATAACGGATGTGACGAAAAGTTGCAGCTCGACTAGCACGTCAGGTTAACTTACTGTGTAAATAAAACAGAAAAAGTTGGTTTACCGACGGCTTTCAGATCGTTTAGCAAGCAAGCGAAAAGAGACGCCTGAAGTCGAGGGAATAACCGTGGAGGCGATGGCGAGATTAACCCGAGGCAGGTGAAGGCATAGAGCAGATGTGAAGCGGAAGAATAGCGTGGTAACTGACGATGATGGCGGACGAGCCTAGTTTACTAGTTGGTTGACGAAGACGAAGACGGGCGAACATCGAAGATCTTCTGCCACTTGGCAGTCTTGGATGTGGGAAGAAGTGTGGGAACGACATTTAAACCACCAAAACTGACATATACAAGCACAATGGGTATTGTTTACCGAAAAAACATCCGCCTGACACAACGGAAATCAATTTTTGG